CCCTGCACCGAGCTGGTGCCCAGGGCGGCCGAGCCCGGCTACCTGGTGAGCAAGGTGGTGGCGGTGGACGGCGACTCGGGCCAGAACGCCTGGCTGTCCTACCAGCTGCTCAAGGCCACGGAGCCCGGGCTGTTCGGCGTGTGGGCGCACAACGGCGAGGTGCGCACGGCGCGGCTGCTGAGCGAGCGCGACGCGGCCAAGCACAGGCTGCTGCTGCTGGTGAAGGACAACGGCGAGCCGCCGCTGTCGGCCAGCGTCACGCTGCACGTGCTGCTGGTGGACGGCTTCTCGCAGGCCTACCTGCCGCTGCCCGAAGCGGCGGCGGGCGCCGCGGCCCAGAGCGACCCGCTCACGGTCTACCTGGTCATCGCGCTGGCGTCGGTGTCGTCGCTCTTCCTGTTCTCGGTGCTGGCGTTCATCGCGGTGCGGCTGTGCAGGAGGGGCAGGGCGGGCTTGGTGGGCGGCTGCTCGGTGCCCGAGGGCCACTTTCCGGGCCACCTGGTGGACGTCAGCGGCACTGGGACCCTGTCCCAGAGCTACCAGTATGAGGTGTGTCTGAAGGGAGGCTCTGGGAGTAATGAGTTCAAATTCTTGAAACCAATTATCCCCCGCTTCCCACCCCAAGACACGAACGAAGAAATAGAGGGAAACGCCATCTTCCGGAATAACCTCGGATTCAGTTAGGAATCTCATTATGATGCCGTGACTTTGTAACACCTCCAATTTCCCCAGGGATAGTTTGAGAGCATAACGGAGAGAAGTGCCATCTTCAGGTGTAGCCTGGATTTCCCTTTTGTGATGTATTTCTCCCTTGCCTTTATCTTGTCCGATTTTGGAAAACTCAGTGATGGCATTATTTGCCTAATGCCGCTTCAGACTCCTGCACGGGGTTTGTTCTCCTGTAATGTTTGCCGCTTGGTTGCCCTATGTTTAGATCAACTGTCTTATTAATAAACTCAAATGTTAATGACTTTTCTCTGTGTTCAGTCCTTTTTTTAATCACACGCTAAGTATATGATGCTAAACAGCAAAAATTAAAAAGCATTTTTACATGTTTTTAAATCGTTCTTTTCAAATGAAAATATGCATTTGATAACAAATGCAACGTGTGTGAAATCACGAGGACACAGCAATCTTCCATCTACTCCTCTCTGCTCCTCTCATCCCCACCTCCAAGCATTTTTAAGCATATGTTTTAATGAAATGATAACATACACACAGAAAAGGGAACACATCCTTAATTTCAGCACAATGTATTAATATTTTCAGAAAGTAAACACTTAGTATCAACATCTTGATGAAGAAATGAAACATAACCAGCATCCCACGTGCCACATAAATTAGCCTTAAAATCCCTGCCAGCACAAGTATGAAAAGTGTCCTGACTTCTAATGCTACAGTTTAGTTTTGCTTGTTTTGAATTTATTTAAATAGAATAGTAGAGTATATACTGTTTTGTGTCTGGCTTCTTTCAGTCAACATTATGTTTAGGACATTTTATGATATTGCTTTCAATTTTACTTATTCATTCTTATTTCTGTATAGTGTCACAGTGTATGAATATTTCAGAATTTATCACTCATCCTATGTAGATGGGTATTTGGGTTGGTGTAAGGTTTGGCTGTTTGAATAATACTGGGCTGAGCATTTTTATACCTATCTTTTGGCAAACATGTTTACACATTCTGTTGGGTATATACCTAGGGGTAAAATTGCCACTCACTTAGTAAGTAGATGTTTGCTTTAAGTAGTTATTTTAAATAGTTTTCCAATGTATTTGTACCAATTTACATAGTTATCAGCAGTGTTTGGATGTACCAAGTCCTCCACATTCTTGTCAACTCTTGGTATTGTCTGGTTTTCACTTCACCTCATTGGCAACACTTTTAAACTTTTATTTTCATAACATTTCAACATTTTCATAAACTTTAAACAATTAATGTCCTGCTATTATTGTTTAGTACCTAGACACAAACCTTTCATCCCTCCTTCACATATAATTATCTCACTATTTTCTGCTACTTCTCTACACAAACTGAAACCATTTTTTAATCTTTTTTTTGAAGATTTTATTTATTTATCTTTAGAGGGGAAGGGAAGGAGAGAGGGAGAGAAACATCAGTGTATGGCTGCCTTTCCTGTGTCCCCTGCTGGGAACTGGCCTGCAGGGAACCCGCCTGCAACCCCGGTATGTGCCCTGACTGCAATTGTCAAACTGCAATTGTCTAGTTCGCAGGTTTTATTTGGCAATTTTTTTGGTTCATAGGCCAGTACGCAATCTACTGAGTCACACCAGCCAGGGCTAAATGCATACATTCTAAAAGAGAAAAAGTCTCAGTCATGTCAGCTCCCACCTCAAGAATGTAGAAAAGGAAGAGGAAAATAAACCCACAACAAACCGGAAGAAGGAAATAATAAAAAGTATAGAGGAAATCAATGGCATTCAAAAATAATAATGAAAATTAAGAAAATAAAATACGCTGATTCTTTTGGGGGAAAATCAACAATATTGACAAACATCCAGCAAGACTGACAATTCTTCCTTCCCAACCACTTCAGATTTCAGATGTGTTCAGCATCACATCCTCAATGTTCTCAAAATTTTCTGCAGTGTATCTCCCATTGAGAGGTTTCTTTAAGTGATATATCTCTGCCCTGGCTGGTGTGGCTCAGTGGATTGAGCACTAGCCTGTGAAGCAAAGGGTCGCTGGTTTGATTCCCAGTCAGGGCACATGCCTGGGTTGCCAGCCAGGTCCCCAGTAGGGGGCGCATGGGAGGCAACCACACATTGATGTTTCTCTACCTTTCTTTCTCCTTCCCTTCCCCTTTCTCTAAAAGTACACAAATATAATATTTTAAAAAAATTTTAAGTCAGTTCACTTCTACTCTTGCACATCAAATCAGGGCAAAAAGGAATAAAATCAAGAAGCATTCTCCTGAGGGAATCCAATGCATCTACTTTCCATAAAAAGACAGTTTCTTCACATACCCAGCTGATACCTTTCAGAGGTACATTAAATAGTATCTTCTTTCTTTCTGCCACAACAACCAACATTTTCAAAGGCATTTGAGTGATCTAAATTGAATTTTACACATACTATATTACTCATAAAAATTTCTCTAAAATGAAAAATTAATTCAGTAAGCTGTGTTGAGGAAACCTGGTGTTGCTGCAGGCAGAATGAGCAAAGGACTCTGGATGCCAGCAATGCCCTTAAGCTGGAGTTGCAATGTCCGCTGAAAGAAGGGAGCATTTACGATTGAGCTGGAAATAGCTTTGTTTCAGACAAAATTAAACCTAAGATGTTTATCGTTGTTGGCTTGCTTCATCAGTTTGTTACTGATATCCTTGAGAAAGTCTCTTCTCAGTGACATTTATCAAGTGAACCATGGAAGCTGGTCACAGCGATCTCATTTTTATCCTTCTAGGTAGATAGAGGTGTGCTTCAACTACACGATTAGTTTTATTTAGCTTTATTTATTTTATCTGGAGTTGAAATATTTTTTAAAAATCCTCATTTTTAATCCCCAATCATTTGGGCTCTTACCTGAAGTGGATTTTGCTTGAACTCAATTGATTTCACCTCTTAACAATCTGAAATTCATTCTATTTGGTGTTTTGTGTTCTTATATATACACTAACCTATTTAATGTATTTTTAGGATATTTAGAGATACAGTTTCCTACGTATTTGAGCAGAACTGGTGAATTAGAAATGGATAGAGCCATGTTAAATTATTATTGAATTCCATGGTATCCACTCAAATGTACTTCACCTTTCCCACTGCCTTATTTGGTCTGTAGTCATAGGGCCTCAAATCACCCTTGTTGTGAGAGGGTGGTAGAAGTGAGTCTTGAATGTTTCTTTTCTGCATTGTGTTACATTCTTACAACAGGGTAATCTATTTGATCTTGATTAATTAACCTAGGAGGGGAATTTGATGTTAAAAGTTACAGTAAATTGAACAAGTCTAATAAAATTATGACCAGATTCTACCCAAATAAAAATAAAATGGAACCCTAAAATGCTTACTTATGACAGAAACTTGAGTGTTTCTAGCTCCTCTTATTTTCTTATTTTTTAAAGATTTTATTTATTTATCTTTAGAGGGGAAGGGAAGGAGAAAGAGGGAGAGAAATATCAATGTACGGTGCCTCTCATGTGTTCCTCAGAACTGGCCTGCAACCCAGACATGGGTTCTGACTGGGAATCAAACCGCAATCTTCTGGTTTGCAGGCCCACACTCAATCCACTGAGTTACACCAGCCAGGGCACTCTAGCTCCTCTTTTAAATCATTTAATTTGACAAGATGCTTCTGCGATAAGTATCCCTTGGCCTCAGTTTTCCTCCTAGTAGTCTAATTGTTCCCTTGATTGTGCAGGCATAACCACAAACAAAATTGAGTCTATTTTTCATGCCATTTTGTAAGTCACGTAACTTAGAGACATGATTGTTTATTTTACCATCAGCATTGCTAACCCACTCTTACTTTTGTATAGTTTGTTGGAACAGTTAAATAGTGTACTTCTTGGCTTCACAAATTATATTGCTCATCAGAGATAAATTGCACTACTAAAGAATAAAAGTTGGTTATAGGAAGTTTACATTTCCTGGGAGAGTAATTCTTAATTAAACGTTGGTGTGCATCGAAACTCACTTAAGGAGAAAAACTGAAGTGCAGATTTCCATTAGCACCACCAAAGAATTTGATTCAAGATCACGAGAGGAGCCCAGAATTGACTTTGGGGAAAAAACCCTCAAACTTCCAGGAAATCCTTTATGCAGGCGGTTCCCACACTGCGGTGTGAGAAACACTGACTGGACAGAAAAGCCTTTACAGTGCTCATGTTTTGGAAATGGTGTTGATCTGCAAACATCTCATGAAGTTATTGATTTGAACGCGTGGTGGCACTGCAGGCTAAGAGAGTAAATCCAAGCTCTGCGGATTCGGTGGACGCCATTCACAGGGAAACCCAAGGTGGGGAAAATACATTTAAGCTAAAGCCAAAACAAACCTGTTTGTGAAGGCAGTCACAGTCAGACGAGTTTTGTTTTGTTTTGTTTTAAGAATTAGAAAGTCCTTAGCAAAGATATTTCGGAGGGTCGACGGTGGACCTGGTGATTGGGAATTAAAAAGGGTTTTTCCTCTGGGATCAGACATAACAGTACAGATGGCGCAAACAAACGCACATCGCTACAAAAGGCAAGTGACAGTTTTCATTCTGTTGATGGTTTTGTGGGAGGTGGGTTCAGAATCGATTCAGTATTCTGTTTTGGAGGAGACAGAAACTGGCACGTTTGTGGCTAATTTGACTGAGGACCTGGGACTCAGGACTGGGGAGCTGGCCGCTCGGGGCGCCCGGGTTGTTTTCAGCGGGAACAGACAGCGTTTGCAGCTTGACCCACAGACACAGGATTTGCTGCTGAATGAAAAGCTGGACCGGGAGGAGCTGTGCGGCTCCACCGAGCCGTGTCTGCTGCCCTTCCAGGTGTTGCTGGAAAATCCCTTGCAGTTTTTCCAGGCGGTCTTGCGAGTCAGAGACATTAATGACCACGCCCCGAAGTTCCCCGCTAGTGAAATGCTACTACAAATATCAGAAATTACTCCGCCAGGAAAGATCTTTCCTTTGAAAATGGCGCAGGATTTAGACGTGGGTAGCAACGGCCTTCAGAGCTATGTAATCACCTCCAATTCTCACTTCCACGTGGTCACCCGCAATCGCAGCGACGGCAGAAAGTTCCCAGAGCTGGTCCTGGACGAAGCGCTGGACCGCGAGGGGCAGGCGGAGTTCCGGCTGACCCTCACCGCGCTGGACGGTGGGTCTCCGTCCCGGTCGGGGACCACGGAGGTGCAGATCCGGGTCCTGGACGTCAACGACAACTCCCCCGAGTTTGCAAAGGAGCTGTATGAGGCGCAAGTCCCTGAAAACAACTCCCTTGGCTCGCTGGTTATCACCGTCTCAGCGACAGATTCAGATGCAGGATCCTTCGGAGAAGTATCTTATGCTCTGTTTCAAGCCGATGATGTTGATCAACCCTTTGAAATAAACGCAATCACAGGGGAAATTCGACTGAGAAAGATGTTGGATTTTGAGAAATTTACATCTTATCATGTGGATGTTGATGCCACAGATGGTGGGGGACGATCAGGAAAATGCTCTATAATCATCAAGGTTCTGGACGTGAATGATAACGCCCCTGAACTGACCATGTCGTCCCTCATCAGCCCCATCCCTGAAAACCAGCCAGAGACAATAGTGGCAGTTTTCAGTGTATCAGATGCAGATTCTGGACAAAACCAGCAAGTTATTTGTTCTATAGATGACAACATCCCCTTTCTTTTAAGACCATCAGTAGAGAATTTCTACACTTTGGTAACAGAAGGAGCTCTGGACAGAGAGCGCCAGACCGAGTACAACATCACCATCACCGTCACCGACATGGGGACGCCCAGACTGAAAACCCAGCACAACATAACCGTGCTGGTCTCCGACGTCAACGACAACGCCCCGGCCTTCACCCAAACCTCCTACACCCTCTTCATCCGCGAGAACAACAGCCCCGCCCTGCACATGGGCAGCGTCAGCGCCACAGACACAGACGCGGGCGCCAACGCCCAGGTCACCTACTCGCTGCTGCAGCCCCAGGACCCCAGCCTGCCCCTCCACTCGCTGGTGTCCATCAACGCCGACAACGGCCACCTGTTCGCCCTGAGGGCGCTGGACTTCGAGGCCCTGCAGGCGTTCGAGTTCCTGGTGGGCGCCACAGACCGCGGGGCCCCGGCGCTGAGCAGCCAGGCGCTGGTGCGCGTGCAGGTGCTGGACGCCAACGACAACGCGCCCTTCGTGCTCTACCCGCTGCAGAACGGCTCTGCGCCCTGCACCGAGCTGGTGCCCAGGGCGGCCGAGCCCGGCTACCTGGTGAGCAAGGTGGTGGCGGTGGACGGCGACTCGGGCCAGAACGCCTGGCTGTCCTACCAGCTGCTCAAGGCCACGGAGCCCGGGCTGTTCGGCGTGTGGGCGCACAACGGCGAGGTGCGCACGGCGCGGCTGCTGAGCGAGCGCGACGCGGCCAAGCACAGGCTGCTGCTGCTGGTGAAGGACAACGGCGAGCCGCCGCTGTCGGCCAGCGTCACGCTGCACGTGCTGCTGGTGGACGGCTTCTCGCAGGCCTACCTGCCGCTGCCCGAAGCGGCGGCGGGCGCCCGCGGCCCAGAGCGACCCGCTCACGGTCTACCTGGTCATCGCGCTGGCGTCGGTGTCGTCGCTCTTCCTGTTCTCGGTGCTGGCGTTCATCGCGGTGCGGCTGTGCAGGAGGGGCAGGGCGGGCTTGGTGGGCGGCTGCTCGGTGCCCGAGGGCCACTTTCCGGGCCACCTGGTGGACGTCAGCGGCACAGGGACCCTGTCCCAGAGCTACCAGTACGAGGTGTGTCTGAAGGGAGGCTCTGGGACCAGCGAGTTCAAGTTTCTGAAGCCGATTCTTCCCAGCTTCCCTCCTCAAGGAACTTGGGAGGGAATTGAAGGAAATCCCCACCTTTCGGAATAGCTTCCTATTCAGTTAAGTATTGTATTATTCTACTAAACCCTACTTAATAAATATGGAAATCTCCTTTGAACTTTACATTACATGTTATTGGTGATCTCTTTCTTGATTAATTTACTACCGTCCCTTAGGGTGATATTATAAGAAATTCAAATGTTGTATATGCACAATATTTTCTCTATATTATATTTAGTAGCTTTTAAATTATTCATTCAATTATATTTGACAATCTGAATGAGGTTTTTTTATTGGTTTGGGTGTTTGTACCCAAGTGAACTGCTATGTTTTTCTTGAACGATGACTGGTTGGTTTGAAGCGTATGGGGAACACTTACGGTTTGGTGTTCTCATGCTTTCACCCTCTCCTTGGAATAGTATTCTTCCTTAGGGGTTACTGCTCCATCTGACACTCTCACCTCACCTCACATGGCTTTAGATGATGCAGTGGCAGTTTCCAATAGCCTCATCTCTATTGCCTCAGAAGATGTAAGATTTAATTAGAGTAATTTAAAAATTTTGAAGTTCACTCATCTATCTCTTTTTACAAACATTATATTCCAAAATTCTTAAGTACAACTGCTTTTCTAACTACTGGTGACTACTGCGATTACTACTGCCTTGTAAGAAAAAGCTTTAACTGTGAGGGGTTCATATTATTTAATCTGCCAATGCAGGGGGTATACTGCTCATTTGGGGGTAACTCCTACAATGGGATAAAATACAGATGAATGTTAACGATGCCTAAACGCTAAGATAGCCATTCATATTTATGTGTATTTCAGTAACTATAATAGTCAACAGATGTTTTCTGTTAATATAGACTTTAAAAACTGTAAACACATTAAATTACAGCTTGTGAGTTTCATGTAAGAATATGATGGTTTTTAAAAAAACATTGGCTCAATTATAAATTCTTAATAAACATTTGATAAATGCTATTAACATTCCTGTAGTGAATTAAAAAAGAATTTTCAAGGAATGTAGAAATGTTAATATTTCCTCTACACTCTAGTACCCTTGTCAAAAGTGACATTGTTAAATATCATTCTTTTACTTTTCCTCTAAATTGGAAATACCTTCCAGTAACCAAAACTTGGTTACAGAATGTAAAATGCTTAAGAGTACATTTTTCCTCCTTATCTTTGTTCAATGATTTGAAAGTTCAAAAGTATTGTTTAGTAAAATTCAAATTATACTTTGCAAACTCCTATTCCTAGCCTCTTAGCTTTTATTAATATACATGTGATGTCTACTGAGACCTAAGTGAGTTATTAGTGCCAGGTTATTGGGTAGATAATGTCACATTTTCCCTCCTAGTGCTGTGTATACATTATTTATCTTTATTAACCATAAAATTATTTACATTTACAATTTAACTATATTTGGTATTATTCATGTTCATTATAGTTCCAGTCTTTTATGGAAAAAAGTCCTCTTTTCAATTTCCCATCAATATTAGTCACTTTATCCTAAAGTGAAAAGTGGTTGAATATTGTATTTTTATCCTTAATTAAAAAGGAAGTGAGCTTAATTGAGTTATATTTGGCTGTGTTTTGTACCCAAATAGGTGAACTGCTATGTCTCTTTTGTCTTGAACGATGACTGGTTGGTTTGAAGCGTATGGGGAACACTTACGGTTTGGTGTTCTCATGCTTTCACCCTCTCCTTGGAATAGTATTCTTCCTTAGGGGTTACTGCTCCTTCTGACACTCTCACCTCACCTCACATGGCTTTAGATGATGCAGTGGCAGTTTCCAATAGCCTCATCTCTATTGCCTCAGAAGATGTTCACTTGGACGGGCTCTTATCCAAAGCTGACAGGTCAAAGCCCTTCCCTGCAGAGTATACATTTGACCTCATTGACTTTAGTGCCTTCTTCATGTTTGTTGAAAGACATTGACTGAATTTTGAGCTTTCATTGACTTCTAATAAAACAAGTGGCCATTCCCTCTCAACTTTACTGGGCCATACACACAATGAATTTATGAAGAAAAAAATCTCAAAAGCTGTGCAGCCCAAAGACTGCCAAAACATCACTTTTTTTTTCAGGTGTTATGGACACATTTTAATTTGGGAGTAAAAACTGGATTTAAAAATTCAACACTTCTAACACAATAGAACAAATTAGTATTTTTGTAATAGAATGTTTCTCAAGAGCAGGGATTTTTGTGTTTACCATTTTATCTCCAGAAGCTACAAAATTTTCTGCAGAGAAAGACTTATTGAATGACTCAATGAATTTGTCTCCGGCCAAATTTTGTATACTGAACGTGTACCTTTATGAAGAAGATGACTGTAGATTAACAGGCATCACTGTGCTTTCGCAGTTATTGTTAGCTACCTGAACAAGACGCATAATAGGTGAGGGGGGAAGGAGTTTATAACATTCTCTGACCCAAAAAGGCAATTCAATGCGTTTTAGCTTGTAAATGAAAACTACCCGAAGTTATAAAACAGAACGCTTGGTGGCGCTGCAGGATAAGAGAGTAAAAGCTGTCTTCGCAATTCCCGTACTACAGAAAGCTGAGCAGTCCCCGGCAGCTAGCGAAGGAAACATTTTCCACCACTGGGGATAATACCGTTCAAAGAGGCAGCCATCGCCACCCCCGTGCCAGTTGATGTTAAGAAAAAACTCAAGATTATCGACCTAAGATAGCAGAGTTCGCTACAAAGCAATTATTTTGTGATTTAGTACTGGATCTTTTGGACCCGGAGGAAGGATGCAGATGCCACTACACAAAGCGCCCCAGAAAAGGCAAGTGACCGCCATTATTATTATATTACTATCGTGGGAGGCGGGCGGTGGGACCATTAAATACTCTGTTCTAGAAGAGAGGGACAGCGGCTCTCTTGTGGCCAACCTAGCAAAGGATCTGGGGCTGGGCTTAGGAGAGCTGGCCGCGCGCGGTGCCCGGATTCTTTCCAAAGGGAACCAACAGCATTTGCAGCTCGAGCAGAAGAGCGGGAATTTGCTCCTAAAAGAAAAATTGGACCGGGAAGAGCTGTGTGGTGACACGGATCCATGTGTACTGCATTTCCAGGTGTTACTGAGAAACCCACTGCAGTTTATCCAAGGTGAGCTACAGCTCCAAGATGTAAATGACCACGCCCCAGAATTCTTGGAACAGGAAATCCTCCTGAAAATCCCGGAAAGCAGTCATCCAGGGACTGCATTTCCTTTGAAAATAGCTCAGGATTTGGACGTGGGCAGCAACACAGTCCAGAGCTACACAATTAGCACCAACGCCCATTTCCACCTTATCACTCGCGATCACAGCGATGGCAGAAAACACCCTGAGCTGGTGCTGGATAAAGCGCTGGACCGTGAGGAGCAGCCGGAGCTCAGGTTAACCCTCACGGCGCTGGATGGTGGGTCACCACCCAGGACTGGGACTTCCCGCGTCCTCATTGTAGTCCTGGACATAAATGACAATGCCCCTGAATTTGATCAGCTGCTCTATGAGGTGCAGGTTTCAGAGAACAGCCCCATAGGCTCTCTTGTCATCACTGTCTCCGCTAAAGATTTAGATGCTGGGGCCCACGGAGAGATCTCCTACTCGTTTTTCCAATCCTCAAATCAAGGCATTCAGGTGTTTGAAATAAACTCATTCACAGGAGAAATTCGGTTAAAAAGAATGTTGGACTTTGAGGAAATTCAGTCTTACAGTATGGAAATCGAGGCCTCAGACGGAGGGGGGCTTTCAGGAAAATGCACGGTAGCCATAGAAGTGATGGATGTAAATGACAACGCCCCGGAACTGATCACCTCCTTACTCACCAGTGAGATCCCAGAAAACACCCCTGATACTGTAGTAGCGGTTTTTGAAATTTCAGATCCAGACTCGGGAGACAATGGCAAAACGATGTGTTTCATCCAAGACCATCTTCCCTTCCTTCTGAAACTTACCTTAGAAAATTTCTACACTTTGGTAACAGAAGGAGCTCTGGACAGAGAGCGCCAGACCGAGTACAACATCACCATCACCGTCACCGACCTGGGGACGCCCAGACTGAAAACCCAGCACAACATAACCGTGCTGGTCTCTGACGTCAACGACAACGCCCCCGCCTTCACCCAAACCTCCTACACCCTCTTCATCCGCGAGAACAACAGCCCCGCCCTGCACATGGGCAGCGTCAGCGCCACAGACACAGACGCGGGCGCCAACGCCCAGGTCACCTACTCGCTGCTGCAGCCCCAGGACCCCAGCCTGCCCCTCCACTCGCTGGTGTCCATCAACGCCGACAACGGCCACCTGTTCGCCCTGAGGGCGCTGGACTTCGAGGCCCTGCAGGCGTTGGAGTTCCTGGTGGGCGCCACAGACCGCGGGGCCCCGGCGCTGAGCAGCCAGGCGCTGGTGCGCGTGCAGGTGCTGGACGCCAACGACAACGCGCCCTTCGTGCTCTACCCGCTGCAGAACGGCTCTGCGCCCTGCACCGAGCTGGTGCCCAGGGCGGCCGAGCCCGGCTACCTGGTGAGCAAGGTGGTGGCGGTGGACGGCGACTCGGGCCAGAACGCCTGGCTGTCCTACCAGCTGCTCAAGGCCACGGAGCCCGGGCTGTTCGGCGTGTGGGCGCACAACGGCGAGGTGCGCACGGCGCGGCTGCTGAGCGAGCGCGACGCGGCCAAGCACAGGCTGCTGCTGCTGGTGAAGGACAACGGCGAGCCGCCGCTGTCGGCCAGCGTCACGCTGCACGTGCTGCTGGTGGACGGCTTCTCGCAGGCCTACCTGCCGCTGCCCGAAGCGGCGGCGGGCGCCGCGGCCCAGAGCGACCCGCTCACGGTCTACCTGGTCATCGCGCTGGCGTCGGTGTCGTCGCTCTTCCTGTTCTCGGTGCTGGCGTTCATCGCGGTGCGGCTGTGCAGGAGGGGCAGGGCGGGCTTGGTGGGCGGCTGCTCGGTGCCCGAGGGCCACTTTCCGGGCCACCTGGTGGACGTCAGCGGCACAGGGACCCTGTCCCAGAGCTACCAGTATGAGGTGTGTCTGAAGGGAGGCTCAGGGACCAGCGAGTTCAAATTCTTGAACCCCTTTGTCCCCTACCTCACCCCCCAAGGCACTACCGAGGAAGTGGAGGAGAGTGTCACCTCACGGAATAACTTTGTATTCAACTAGAAATTTCATCACGATGCAGGGTGTTTTGTAACATCTCTAATCCCAGATACAGAGTTTAGAAGCATATGGACAAAAATCCCACCTTCAAGGATAGCCTGGATTTACCTTTTGAATTTCAGCGGCCTGGGCATGGGGACCCTTTCTCTGTGCTACCAGTTTGAGGTGTGTCTGAAAGGAGGCTTAGGGACCAGGGAGTTCAAGTTCCTCAAACTAAGGGTCCCAACTTTATGGGTGGAGAGGCTGGTAGGCTAACGAAGGAAAACTCTAAAAATTCATTTGAATTCAATTGAAATTTCCTCTCATGGGATAAGTGACAATATTCACTAACATATTATTTCCTAACCCCTTTTCATTCACAGAAAGAGCTTACATGGCCACACATTCATAATTATTGCTATATTGACAGTTATGGCAATTGGTTGATGTCACATTCTGAGTCTCTAGGTATTTTTATTGTTGTTTTGCTCCTTCATATTTTGCATGTTCATACAATAGCAGAGCAATTGTGTTTCTCCAGCTTTGAAAGTAAGATTTTTGGAAGTTTTCAGATTCCTGATATTTGAGCTTGTTCATTGTTATTTTGTTATGATTTAGAGAGTTGTGCTTTGTGATTACCATAAGCATCAGTCTATTGTAAATGATGGCTTTCGGTCTTAAAAATAATTTTCATTTGTGCAAAATTTTGTTGCCTCGTAAATTACTGCATTTCTGTAGTTGTTTTAAAAATAGTGCTGTGCCCTGGCTGGTGAGGCTCAATGGACTGAGTGCCCGCCTATGAACCAAAAGGTCGCCTGTTCAATTCTGGTCAGAGCAAATGATTGGGTTGCAGGCCAGGTGCCCAGGCAGGAGTGTGTGAGAGGCATACAATCGATGTATCTGTCACACATCAGTGATTCCCTTTTTCTCCCTCTATTCCCCTCTCTCTTAAAATAAATAAATAAAATCTTAAAAAAAAACCAATGTTGTATTTCCTTGGATGAACTAATATTTTAGCTGAATATATTATAAGTTGAGTATTTTCTTTCAAAATTTATGGCATTTAGTTAGACCACCTTCTATAATTTTAAAGGATTCAATTTCTGTTAATAGAAAAAAGTGAAAAAATATTGGTAGACTTGTACTTTTTTTCATAATAAGTGGTTTTGAGTATGTAAATGATGATTCTTATTCTATTAGTATATATTCAGATGGTTGAAACATATTCAATAAGAAAAAGAAAGCAAATTAACATCATTCTAGCACTCAGAAATAGTTATCATTAATATTAAGTCAACATTATTTTAAAAATATTTCTATGACTTCATATAAGAGTAAGTTAATAGATAAAAATAATGTAAAATGAACCTATAATGCATGGTCAGCTTCATAATTAAAACGATCAGATTTTTCATGATATTTACTCTTATATTTTTAAATTATATCCTTATAAATGCTTTTTTTGCAAGTTTTAATTTTAGATATGACCCATTTTCTTATTTCTTAAGGGGCATTCATGTGAACACATACACACACTTGCACATTCCCTCTACCCCATCCTCTCTCAAAAATATTATTAAAAATTCTGTTTTAATAGTTTACATAATTATGACTATGTAAATATCACTTACACCTGAACCTCATGATGTACTGAGATTTCGTTTCTTTTCTTTACCTCGAGTAAATATTTCCTCATTTCACTTTACTTTTCTACTTACATATTTTTAACATATTCTCATACTTTCTAAGTCTAAACTCTTCATTGTACTATTAAACTCATGATGAAATCTCTCAATTTCATTACTTTCTTCTTGAAGTCATTCTGAAGCTGTTCAGATTCCTGCTCAACTGCATACGATTTGCTCTGTGGATCAATTGTGTAGCTGGCAGTTTGGAACTTGCTTTAGCCATTATTCTGGGAATTTCTTTTGTCTTTCTCCTGAGTTTGATTTCATTTTATGAAATCAAATTTTTATTTTGTTTGCTACGAAATTTTAAGTTAGAAATTATTTACTGTTAGTATTCTGTTTTTCAAGGTTTTATTTATTTATTTTTCGAGAGGGGAAGGGAGAGAGAAAGAGAAGGAGAGAAACATCAATGTGCGGTTGCCTACTGTGCGCCCCCGACTGGGGGACTGGCCTGCAATGTACCCTGACTGGGAATTAAACCCCCGACCCTTTGGTTTGCAGGTTGACACTCAATCCACTGAGCCACACCAGCCAGGGCTATTTGCTGCTAGTATTTTGAAGGCATTTGTAGACTTGTCTCCCTGATGTTTACTCTTCTCCCACTCTTTTTGTCTTTATAGACAAAAATTGTCCATTTATTTTATATCTTTGCTTTCTATTGCTTAGATGACATTGCAGGAGGGACTCGAGATAAATTGGTGTGCTCACACTGGAATAAAATGCATTCTTTACTGTCATTTTATTGCAGCTTCCCCAGACCTCAATCACATATATTTTTTCATACTTTTGTTTGCTGGATTTCATTAGTTACAGTGCTTTAAAGATGAATCTATAGGGGCTGTATTTCTTGAATTCTCACATACTTGACAAGTACAGTTTAGCTGGGTATAAAATTTTTCAGGCAACCTTCTTTTTTTTAGAGATTTGTTGACATAAAATATTACATTAGTTCTTCTATTATAATTCTCTATATTCTTCTATTAGTTGGCTAAATTTTGTCCTTAAGCAGTTTTTACAATAAGCACTCATGAGTGCTAATGACATATTTTAAGAATTCTTTTCTGTTTGCTGCATTATTATCTTTGTATTTGAGCAACATCTTGTCTAGGTATAAAATTATTGAGCCATAATATTTTTCCTTCAGAACCTGGTAAATATTTCCATTGTGTTCTAGTATTGAATGTTGATGAGGGTAAGTCTAAAGCCTATTTTCCTATAAGTCACCTATAGGTGACTTATTTTCTATCTTTGAACTTCATTATCTTTTTCAGGTTATGTCTTGATTTTGATAACTTTGCATCACTTTTTCTCCCCTGGAATTCAGTGTATCATTTCAATCTGTTCTATGCAAATATTTTCAAGTATGTCATTTATTATTTATATCTAGTAAGTATAACTGATTTTTAACTCTGTCCAATACCTCCAATATGTGAAGTTTGTGTGGGTGAGTTTCCTCTGCATCATTTCTGATCCTTATTCATGCTGTCTTTGTTTCTTTGTGGGGTTTACATGTTTGATTACCCTTAAATTTTTATTTGTAGTGTATCCTCAAAGCAAACATTGTATGTTCCATCTTTCAAAAACAGATTTTCATTAGCTCCAATCAGGATTCCAGAAATGCTATCAGTAGGGGGTCAAAAACAAACCAAGTTTATGGCTGGAGATTCCTCGCAACTCAATTTATGAATAGTCAAAATACAAACACACATGAGGACCAATCAGTAGGTACAATTTCCCAGACATGGTTTCTTTAATTTTTCTTCTGCTCTACTTAACACCAGGGATTTTTCTATATAATTTCCTGGAGTTAGAGGGAGGGGTAAGTCTTAGATTTGTTGGTGTTATATTGTGTTTATATTGTGGATATATTCCTGTAGGGTCCCTTAAAATTGGAAGGGTCTTTCTATAATTTGCCACCCATATGGTTGGCCCTGAGTTTTCATTTGTATTTCTTTAATCCCATAGAGCTTCAGATCAAAGCCCAAGGGAAAATATTTTCAAGTGCTCTGAGGACATAATAAATTTTGTTGTCCTGACACACTGTTTACCCTCTATTACAGACTTGTATCAAAATTAGACTATTTTCATTGTTTTCTATTATGCTTTTAGCTCTTGATCCCTTTAAAGTTATTTTTTTAAGTCTTGTACATTATTTTTTATTGTTGTCCACAAGAAGGTCATCTGAATCATTTATACCATCACTTTCAGAAATGAGAAGCTCTGCCTAATGTATTTTTAATGAGGATTAAAGTTTGCTATTGTTTAAGTGATACATTTGGCTATTTTTTCTTTGAATTCATTTAGTCCAATGTTCCACCCATTGGGTACTCTGTACAAAGAAACCAAGGATCTTCTTTCTCCACTAAACTATAATCTCCTTACAGAGAGGGCTTTTTTCTATTGCATTTAGAAAAAAATTGTATTGAAGTAAATACAGATGAATGAGTGTTGAATAAATTAATAAATGAATTTAGTCTGTTAATTTATCATCTTTGCCTGACTTCTAAGGCTCATGTGCAGGCATCTCATTGGTTAACCCTAGTTTACATCCAGAATAGTAATTCAAAGGAGTCTGTAAAGGCCTGGAGAAATTAAAATCATGTTTTAATCTCTCCTGGCCTGGAATTTTTAAAAGTTTATAAAAGGAAATAGAAATGCATGACAGATACTAGAAAGAAGAGGCAGGTGTGGCTCAGCGGATTAAGTGCCATCCTGTGAACCAAAGGGTTTCCTGTTCAATTCCCAGTCAGGGCACATGCCTGGGTTGCGGGCCAGGTCCCAAGTAGGGAGCGCTTGAGAGGCAACCACACATTGATGTTTCTCCCCTTTCTCCCTCCCTTCCCTTCTCTAAAAATAATAAACAAATACACTATAGGTAAGCATTATTGGTTCAAATGGTCTTGTCTCAGCAAATGAATTTATTACTTTATTGCTCTTGGGGCTAAGCTTTCAGTAAAAAATTCTTTTGGCTACAAAACACACACCAATGTGAAGGAATATGCTCCATATGAACCATATGCTCTGCTAATAACCAATTAAATAATAATTTATTTGACCCTATCTGTTTCTAAAGGGCAATGGGAGCTATAGGTAATATCTGAGTGGATATGATATACACTATCAATTTTACTCAAATATATGTCTTCTCCCTTTATTCATTGCTAATAGACCTTCACTTTTTTAGCTACCCATGCGGATATGTGGGCTGTGGATTGTATTTTGCAACCCACTGTTGTGGCTAGAAGTGGTCTTGTAACTAAGTTACAGACAGAGACATATAAGCACTACCACCATGGAGTACTTCATGAAAGGAGTCTTTTAAAAGGAAGGCACAGCCTTTTCTTTCTCTTGTTAGTCTGAATGGAAATGTAGTGGCTGGATATTAGACAGCCGTCTGGACTATGAGGTGAAGGCCATGTCCTGAAGATGGTAGAGCAACCACCTGCAACAAGACGGGGTCACAGATAACATGGAATGCATTTCAGCCACCAGCCTTTTTAATGAGAGAAAAGTAAAATTCTATTTTGTGTAAACCATTGCTGTTCTGGGTTTGTGTATTGTTTCTGGCTGAAATTATATAAACTATATATACTTATATAGATATTATATATAATATATATACTATATAGAAGGTAATTCTAGCTCATATAGTAAATTTTTAATAAGGTGATATTTAAGCTAAGAACCAAAGAATGAATAGAAAAAAATTATAAGGCTTACATGCATAGCTTAGAAATCAAGGTTTATTGAGAACAAGCAAAGCAAACAACTAAAGATTTAAGGAAAAAGTCACCTGTTAATACCATCAGATAAGAAAAGATGTTATTGCATCTAAGAAATAAGTGCAGAAAGAGGACTTTTGGAAAGTGTGAACATAATAAATGAAAATCTCAATAGAAGGATTTGAAGATATGGTTAAAAAATACCCCAGATGGTATTGTAAAAATAATTTTAAAAAATGGCAAACAAGAAAAACCCAGAAAAGTAGAAAAATTAAAGTTCACATTAAAGGTTCAACATCTAAATTGTAGTAATTACAAAAAAAATCAAAAAAATTCAGTGAAGTAATTCATGCAAAATTTCTAAGAACTGGAGGGAATTAGTTTCTTAGTGGGAGGGTCTTACAAACTGTCCCATACAATGGGTGAAAATGAGCACAAACCAAGACATCAGTGTTAGCTTTAAAATGCTTGGGACAATGACAACTTATTACAATGAGGAATAAAAAGTACAGCTCACATGTAGAAGATATAAAATAAGATTTACTTTAGACTTCTTAACAAACACATTGGATTAGGGAGCTCATTGACAAAATATTTTAAATACTGAAAAAATTATTTCCAACCTAAAACCCTATAATCAGTCAAACTTCCTGTTAAGTTTGAAGTAAAATAAAAATTATTTTATACAGTCAAGGTCACAATATAATTCAACTCTCATACACCTTTATTTGGAAACTGCATGAAGACATTAAAATGATAGCATAACCTAAGAGAGAAGAAGTCTGAAGAAATAGAAAAAAATAAGACCCAAAACCTAACAGAGGTGAAGTGAATCTCTAGATGCTGTAGAAGGATGGCCCCAGGCTAAGGGCTGTGTCCCAGCTATAGACTAGGTGAGTTTGGAGCTGAACCAGCCAGGCATTTCAAAGGGTATCACCATCAAGTCCCCTGATGTATATCAATTGGATGAAACTATTGAATAATGTGATCTATTAAAGCCACAGAGTAAACAAAAAAGAAGAAATAGAACTCTAGAAAAAGAAGATCCAACCAGAATGAAAGGCAAATAAAATTCCAAAAATGACAACAAAGGAAAGTTCCAGAGTGACAGCTGTGCAACAGATGTGGATACCACCCACCCAATTTAAGGAGAAATTGATACCTCAGGAGCCATTGGAGTCACCATGTGGAAAATTGCACTGAGAGGCCATAGGAAGTGTGGGAAGAATAAGTGACATAGCGAAAGAAAACCAAGTAAATGAAACAGCAAAGCAATTATTAACCAAGAAAAAAGTGAGAAAAATATAATTAGTATACAACAATGTTCTCAATGATCATGAGAGTGAAAGAAGTTATTAAGATCCTTGGAAGTGTATAAGAGCTGAAACTGAATTTAACACAATTAAGAGTCAACTGATAAAGTCTAAAATGAATTAATCAAAATAGAGCAGAATACAGATTAATGGCAGAAGACATAACCAAAGTAGTTTAAAATGGCTTTCTGTTGGAAAAGAAACTAGGAGACTGAGGAGGAAATGAGCAGAAAATTATTGCATTTTATTATAAGCCTCTTAGTAGTATTTGATTTTGAAACAAAGTTATATATTATTTTAATGTATTATTTTTAAAAACAGATCTTGGAAATCTTTCTAAGAATAAAAAAGAGGTATAATGCTATTACTAATAAGAGTAGAGTTATAGCTAAAGTTATATAATACAATGAAAACATAATAAATTTGTTAAGTGGTTTTTAAATGAATGGTTTTTAAGAATAAAATACAAAGAACTTTCAAAGAAAACAAAACCTGTATAGATTAATAACCAAAGTAAAATGGAAGCCACAGGTTCACCATAAGCAAAATCACGAAACCCAACCCATTTAAAGGGCAAGTTGTAATTAAGCATGAAGAAACAGATATGTAAACGTGAAAGCTATGCTGTTGCATAGAAATAGATGCAAACCTTCCCAACCCATTCTGCAAGGCTGGATAGTTTAACACAAAAACCATGGATGTTAAACACACACATGTACATACATGGAGCAACATGGGCCAGAAAAACACTAAAACAAGCCTGGTGCATCAAATCCACCTTTGCATTAAAGCAACAATGTGTCATAGTTAACTATCGTCATATCAAGAACTCAAGAATTAAAAAGCTAGCCCTGGCTGGTGTGGCTCAGTGGATTGAGCGTGGGCCTGCAAACCAGACAATCGCGGTTCGATTCCCAGTCAGGGCACATACTGGGGTTGCAGGCCAGTTCCCAGCAGGGGATGCATGAAAGGCAACCATACATTGATGTTTCTCTCCCTCTCTCCTTCCCTTCCCCTCTAAAGATAAATAAATAAATAAATAAATAAATAAATAAATAAATAAATCTAAAAAAAAAAGAATTAAAAAGCTAAAGAATAAAGGTATGATTTCAACACATCAAAGTTACTTTAAAATATGAAAGAATAAACAAAAAGGAGAGAACTTTCTTGATCCAAACAAGGAGCATCTACCCCAAATCAAGATCAAACATCGTAGCTAAAATGGAAATACTAGGAGCAGTTCCACAATGCTAGGGATGATCTGGTGGCTATTGTTAATTTTAAGAATATTCATTGCATACCCTTGGAAATGCTGTTCATTGAAATGATATGTTAACAATGATTTAAATTATATTATTACTTAAAGTGGGAATAGAACGTGTTCCAGAAAATAGCACGGTTAAAGAGTGAACACCTTGAAACCAGAAGAATCATTTAATTCACAAGAAACTGAAAAAGGCCTTTACTCTGCAGCATGAAATCATTATTGTGAGGCAGTTAACAAACAGAGGTAGACCTCTTGATTAGGGCTTCATTTTCTTACACAGTCTTTGCTGTCAGTTTAAAAGCAAGAGGTTTTCTTAGGTTTTCCTCCTGATGGGGATTCAGAGTTTAATTGCATGCCCCTAGATTAAGGAAAACAACGCATTTATTTTTCTATGAACCCAGATTATAAGAGGGGAGGACACTATAAGCATTCACAAGTACTCCTGTGACCATTTGAGGAGGAAGATGGAACGGAACGTCAAAGACCCTGGGGGACAGAAAACCTTCAAACCATCAACATTCTGTTCTCTTCTTGAAAACGGGAATAACAACCGTAAAACGCAAGGTGGCGCTGCTGCCTTAAAAGAGGGGGAAAGACTCTCAGCACAGACTTCGCAGGTTCCAGGATTCAGAGGAAATCTGGCGAGTCGGAAAGGAAACCGTGGGAACGGCAGCTGCGGGAAAGCGGGCCCCCCTCTCCGCAAGCATTGCAGTTATAGCTCGTTTCTGAGACTTAGGTTGCTGCCATCGCGGGACGCTGCTCGGGGCCGGTGATGGCGGCTCTGGAAGGCCGAGGAAAGGAGGCCTGGAGGCCGAGCGGAGCGCGCGGGCCGGACCAGCCAAGTCCTGCTTCTCTGTGCGTTTCTGGGAGTGTCTGGGGCCGGCGCGGAGCCGCTCCGGTATTTTGTGGCCGAGGAAACCGAGAGAGGCACCTTTCTGGCCAGCCTAGCAAATGACCTGAGGTTGAGGGCGGGGGAACTGGCAGCTCGGGGATCTAGAATCGTTTCAGACCAGAACCCCGGACTGCTGCTACTCAACCCGCTCACCGGTGACTTACTGCTCGGGGAGAAATTGGACCGGGAGGAGCTGTGCGGCCCCACAGAGCCCTGCGTGCTGCCTTTCCAGGTGCTGCTGGAGAAGCCTTTTCAGATTTTCCGCGCTGAGTTATGGGTCAGAGACGTCAACGATCATTCTCCAGTGTTTCTAGAGAGAGAGATTCCCTTGAAAATACTAGAAAGCACCACCCCAGGGGCGGCATTTCTCCTAGAAAGGGCACAGGATTTGGATGTCGGAACCGACAACGTGAGAAACTACACCATCAGCGCCAATACTTATTTCCATATTAACGTGCACGACCGTGGGGAAGGGAATCTCTATCCCGAGTTAGTACTGGATCGAGTGCTGGACCGCGAGCAGCTACCTGAGCTCAGTTTAACCCTCACCGCCGTGGACGGCGGCTCTCCGCCCCGCTCCAGCACTGCGGTGGTTCGGATCTTAGTCCTGGACATAAACGACAATGCCCCTGCGTTTGTACAGTCGCTCTACAAGGCGCAGGTGCCGGAGGACAGCCCCGTGAGCTCCCCGGTTGCTGCTGTGTCCGCTAGAGATTTAGACGCCGGGAGTAACGGAGAAATCGTTTATGCATTTTTTTATGCCACTGAAAGAATTCTCAAAACATTTCAAATCAATCCAACATCTGGCAGTCTTCATCTTAAAAGCGAATTAAACTATGAGGACATGCAAAATTACACAATAACTATTCAGGCCCAGGACGGTGGAGGGCTTTCTGGAAAATGTACCATGGTGGTCCAGGTAACAGATGTAAACGATAACGCACCGGAACTGCTCCTGTCCTCGCTCCTTACCTCGGTTCCGGAAAACTCAGCTGAGACCATCGTAGCTGTTTTTTTAAGATTAGAGACAAAAATTCAGGTAACAATGCAAAGATGGTGTGCTCCATCCAAGATGATCTCCCCTTCCTCCTGAAGCCATCAGTAGAGAATTTCTACACCCTGGACACACGGAAACGCTGGACAGAGAGACCACGGCTGAGTACAACATCACCATCACCGTCACCGACTTGGGGACGCCCAGACTGAAAACCGAACACAACATAACCGTGCTGGTCTCCGACGTCAACGACAACGCCCCCGTCTTCACCCAAACCTCCTACACCCTCTTCATCCGCGAGAACAACAGCCCCGCCCTGCACATGGGCAGCGTCAGCGCCACAGACACAGACGCGGGCGCCAACGCCCAGGTCACCTACTCGCTGCTGCAGCCCCAGGACCCCAGCCTGCCCCTCCACTCGCTGGTGTCCATCAACGCCGACAACGGCCACCTGTTCGCCCTGAGGGCGCTGGACTTCGAGGCCCTGCAGGCGTTCGAGTTCCTGGTGGGCGCCACAGACCGCGGGGCCCCGGCGCTGAGCAGCCAGGCGCTGGTGCGCGTGCAGGTGCTGGACGCCAACGACAACGCGCCCTTCGTGCTCTACCCGCTGCAGAACGGCTCTGCGCCCTGCACCGAGCTGGTGCCCAGGGCGGCCGAGCCCGGCTACCTGGTGAGCAAGGTGGTGGCGGTGGACGGCGACTCGGGCCAGAACGCCTGGCTGTCCTACCAGCTGCTCAAGGCCACGGAGCCCGGGCTGTTCGGCGTGTGGGCGCACAACGGCGAGGTGCGCACGGCGCGGCTGCTGAGCGAGCGCGACGCGGCCAAGCACAGGCTGCTGCTGCTGGTGAAGGACAACGGCGAGCCGCCGCTGTCGGCCAGCGTCACGCTGCACGTGCTGCTGGTGGACGGCTTCTCGCAGGCCTACCTGCCGCTGCCCGAAGCGGCGGCGGGCGCCGCGGCCCAGAGCGACCCGCTCACGGTCTACCTGGTCATCGCGCTGGCGTCGGTGTCGTCGCTCTTCCTGTTCTCGGTGCTGGCGTTCATCGCGGTGCGGCTGTGCAGGAGGGGCAGGGCGGGCTTGGTGGGCGGCTGCTCGGTGCCCGAGGGCCACTTTCCGGGCCACCTGGTGGACGTCAGCGGCACAGGGACCCTGTCCCAGAGCTACCAGTATGAGGTGTGTCTGAAGGGAGGCTCAGGAACCACGGAGTTCAAGTTCCTGAAGCCAATTATTTCTAATGTGCAGGTCCAGACCATGGGGAGGGAAGTGGAAGAATATCCTACATTTCAGCGTGATTTGGGTTTCTGGTAGAGAATGAAAATAAATGTATTGTGTCTGTGAATACATACCTAAGAAATGTACCTTGTGTTGCATGTAGAGGAATGCTTTCTCAGTATTTCAAGTATTCTTAAAGTCACAGAATAAATTCACACAGAAGTGGATACAGTTTTGGCCCTGAGATACCTCCACAAAACATGTGTCTATTTTACCTCTAGTAATTATGCATTGTGCGCAGTCTATTATGTGACAAATCTTGAGATGTTGTAAATCAATGTTCATTGTCTTCAAACTCTACTGCATTTTTATTTTCCTCCTTGATTTCAGTGCTGCAGTTGTATACCTACCTTAAGTTTTAGAAGTACAGATTACACAATGAGTTTCAAAGTTTTTTTTTTAATATTTTATTTATTTATCTTTAGAGGGGAAGGGAAGGAGAGAGGGAGAGAAATATCAATGTATGGTTGCATTTTGTGCGTCCCCTGCTGGGAACTGGCCTGCAGGGAACTGGTTTGCAACCCAGGCATGTGCCCTGACTGGGAATCGAACCGCGATTGTCTGGTTCGCAGGCCCGCGCTCAATCCACTGAGCTACACCAGCCAGGGCCTCAAAGTTTTTTTAAAAAAGTACTTAGTGTACATCATACACTATTTTAACACTTTTAGTCTTACAAATAAACCTATGAGAAGTGTTTTTGAGATAAGCAAATGGAGGTTCAGTAAATTCACTAAGGCCACCTATTAATTCATGGAAGAACGAAGTATCTTTTCTAAATCTTTCTGCTGGTGGGATCTTGCTGTGATGTTGTACATTCCCTTTTCTGTCACTAGGTATCACATTACAAGTTTCTCCATAATTAAAGAGAAGCAACCTTTTCCTCGTTTATATTTCTGTTCAGTCTTTTTCCTTTTCTTTTAAGATTTTATTTATTTATTTAATTTTAGAAAGAGGGAAGGAAGAAAGATAAACATTGATGCATGGTTGCCTCTCATGTGGTCCCCACTGGCCCCCACTGGAGACCTAGCCTGCAACCCAGGCATGTGCTCTGATTGGGAATTAAACTGGCGACCATTTGGTTTGCAGCCCACACTCAGTCCTCTGAGCTACATTAGCCAGGTATTCGGTCTTTTTTTTTAAAGATTTTATTTATTTATCTTTAGAGGGTAATGGAAGGAGAGAGGGAGAGAAATATCAATGTATGGTTGTCTCTTGTGCATCCCCTGCTAGGAACTGGCCTGCAACCCAGGCATGTGCCCTGACTGAGAATCAAACCACGATTCTTTGGTTTGCAGGCCCTTGCTCAATCCACTGAGCTATACCAGCCAGGGCCAGTCTTTTTTTAAATATATTTGAAAATAATAAAGTATTTATTGGCCTGACATTTTACACTCTTATAAATTAATAATTCAGCCCTTTTGAAGTAATTATTTAATTATTATTGTTAAAGCTCTAATCTAACCAAATCTCAAGTTTTAAAAATGGAAAGATCAATTTGTGTTTTTTCCTTATCTCAATATATGACCTTCCTTTCCCAGAAAAAATTAGAGACCCTGAATAGAAATATCACAAAATTTTTACTTATTAATTGGTTTATTAATTTTCTCACACTGTAGTAATATTTCTACAGTAGTCCTTACCTACCTTTTAAACACATTTTCCTCCTTTAATTTAAAATTTTATTTTTAAAGCTTCTAATTCAATACACTGCAGTGCCGAATTGGGAAAGTATAAGAAAAATAATTGTTTTGAATATGTAATATTAAAAATAAATGGTCCCTGGCTGGTATAGCTCAGAGGATTGAGTACGGGCTGCGAACCAAAGTGTCGCGGGTTTGATTCCCAGTCAAAGTACATGCCTGGGTTGTGAGCCAGGTCCCCAGTGGGGGCGATGTGATAGGCAACCACACATTGATATATCTCCCTCCCTTCCCCTCTCTCTAAAAATAAATAAATAAAACCTTTTTTAAAAGCTAAAAAAATAAAAATAAACAAATTATAATTAAATTATTTAGAGATGCAGGGGAGTTAAGGAGAAGCTTTGTTTGTTATCATAATCTGTAACTCCTTTTTCTTAAACATTCTCCAGGAAATTTTTGCATAGCAGTATTGAATATATTATAAATTACTACTGGTAAATTTTAAAATAGTACTATTACTGTGCATTGCTAATGGGATATAATCTAAGAACAAAAAACTTCAGAGCGGTAAAATTTTACATTGTTTTTATAATGTCAGGTTAAAATTATCCAGTTTAAAAAAAAATGAATGACATAGGAAAGGGGAGGAAGGAATTTTCTGCAACAAAAAGAGAGTAATGTGTGGTGAATCTTGTTTGGATCTTGATTTAATCAACTGTGAAAGAATTGGAGAAAATTTGAATATAGATGCATATATACACTGCCATTGCAATCTTGCTATGCGTCTGAAGCCAATAATAACCTAATTTCTTAGGTATGGTATGGCATTGCAGTCATTGTTTAGGCCATTAAAAGCTAGAGGTGTATAACAAAATATTTATAGGCAAAATTTTAGTTTGCCTGGGCATATGAGAATGCTAGTGAGATACACAATTTTGGAAAAAATATTTATAATTGTTGGAGCTAGTTATGAGTTCCTGTGGGTTCATCATATGATTCTGCCTTTATGGCATTTGAAATTTTTCAAAATGAAAGTTTTTTTAATTGACACTGTAAGAAGAGGAGTTAACGACAAAAGAGGGGAACCCTTCTGAATACAGAATCACCACTGCTGTCAGAGATTATACCTCCATTAGACAAGCTCTCCAGCCCTTCCTTGTGTCGTCACTTAATATGATGACTTCTATCTGAGCTAATTCTGCTCATGCATTCTTCTACCACGCGAATATTGGGTGTTTCTCCAGTTGAGGGAATGGACTCATGCAAATTCAGCTACCTGGTGGCATCAAATTACATGCCTAGGTTGTGTGTGTGTCTGTAAGGTAAATCTGTCTCTTCCTCAGTGTCCTCATTTGTATGGGTGGGGGGACTCGCAGCAGCCTGATGTACTAGGTACCATTATAATCCCATTTTACAGATGAGAAAACTAGGGCCGAGGTTAAATAATTTTTCTAAGTTTCACAGGTAGCTACTAATTACTCCCATAGTCCATGGCAATAGAAGTATACTCTGAAATCTTTCTATGTTATTCCAATTATATATTTAAATTTTTTCTGCATATATTTTTTTCTCAGCCAGGCTGTTGCATAAATATTTTCTTTTTGTTCCAAACTCAGGTAGTATTATTAAAAGTAAAAAGTTCCTACTAATGGCATTTCTCTTGTGTGGTCCTCAGACTATTGTCTGCACCGTAAGGTCCAGAGATAGTAAGGTTAGTGTCATAACCTGTGCAATGTAGGTTAGTTTAGAAATCGTGCATCCGTTTCCATCATGGAAAAATGTAAGATCCTGTAAAGACACGTGGTGGCGCTGCAGGATAAGAAGGTACAAACCGGAACCGCAACTGAGGCTCCATTAACAGGCAAAACTCACCAGCAGAGCCTGGAAACCCTCGGGAAACTAGGGTGTCACAGAAGGACTGGGTACTCCAAAAAACTCCTACTCACTGGAATATTTCTAAGGTCTCCTGTGCAATAATCACAGTGTCAGACACCGAGTTCTTCACAGCTCAGCAGAACCAGCCTTGCTAGAGGCTGCACAGGCAAGAACAATGGAGGCCAGCAGGAAACGCTTTCGCAGACAAAGGCAAGTCCTTTTCTTCTTTCTCTTCTTGGGCTTATCTCTGGTGGGCGCTGAGCCTAGGCGCTATTCTGTGGTAGAGGAAACTGAGGGGAACTCTTTTGTAACCAATTTATCAAAAGACCTGGGTCTGGGGCAGAAGGAACTCTCCAGGCGGGGGGCTAGGGTCATTTCCAAAGGGAACAAATTGCATTTGCACCTCGATCAAACGACTGGGGATTTGTTGCTAAATGAGAAACTGGACCGTGAGGAACTGTGTGGTCACACAGAGCCCTGTGTGCTGCGTTTCCAGGTGTTGCTAGCGAATCCCTTAGAGTTTTTTCAAGCTGAGCTACAAGTAATAGACATAAATGACCATGCTCCGGTGTTCGTGGAAAGCGATATGGCGCTAAAAATATCAGAAAGCAGTCCTCCTGGGACGGCATTTCCGCTGAAGAACGCTCAGGACCTAGATGTAGGCCGAAATAATATTAAGAACTACATACTCAGTCCAAACTCCTATTTCCGGGTCCTGACCCTTGAACGCAGCGATGGCAGGAAATATCCCCAGCTGGTGCTGGACAAAGCACTGGACCGCGAGGAGGAGCCTGAGCTCGAGTTAACGCTCACAGCGCTGGATGGTGGCTCACCGCCCCAGTCTGGCACCGCTCAGGTCTACATCGAAGTCATGGACATCAACGATAATGCCCCTGAATTTGAGCATCCTTTCTATAGGGTACAGATCCCTGAGGACAGTCCCATAGGTTTCCTGATTGTCAAGGTCTCTGCTACGGATGTAGACATAGGAGTCAATGGAGAGATTTCCTATTCATTTTTCCAGGCTTCGGAAGAGATTAGAAAAACCTTTGAGCTCAACCCTGTGACAGGAGACATTCGACTGAAAAAACAACTTGATTTCGAAGCAATTCAGTCCTATGAGATCAATATTGAGGCCAAAGATGCTGGAAACTTGTCTGGAAAATGCACTGTTCTGACTGAAGTCGTGGATGTGAACGACAACGCCCCAGAACTCACCATGTCCGCACTTACCAGGCAGATTCCTGAAAACTCGCCTGAGACTGTGGTTGCAGTTTTCAGTGTCTCGGATCTTGATTCGGAAGAAAACGGAAAAATAAGTTGCTCCATTCAGGATGATCTGCCCTTTTTCCTAAAATCTTCTTTGGAAAACTTCTACACCCTAGTAACGGAGACACCGCTGGACAGAGAGACCACAGCGGAGTACAACATCACCATCACCATCACAGACATGGGGACACCCAGACTGAAAACCCAGCACAACATAACCGTGCTGGTCTCCGACGTCAACGACAACGCCCC